AAAAAAAAAAAACACCACTGTTTTCTTTTTGGTATTTGTTAAATACAAGACCCTGGAAAAAAAAAATTCCCCTTCACGATGCCTGTCCTGTTTTGAGTTTTCCTTTGCTCAGGTGACAGGAAATTATGTAAGCCAAAAGTTGTATTTTCTGTTATTCTCAAAAGCTTACAAACAATTTATAGTGAGTGTTTTCAGAAATAAGGCATGGTATAAGTTACAGTGTCTCTGCATAGGCCTGTGGTGATGCAGATTCTCAACAGCTCCAACTGTTGAGTGAGTCTTAGTTTTCAGCGCAATTTCTTTCTTGCTTAGAGGAGGAAAAAAACAGTGCTAAAAAAAAAAAAGTATAAATATTTTATACCCAAAATCATGTGACAATACTCTGGGCCTGCATCAGCATCAGTGATGCATAATGCGATTAAGCTGCTCTTGGTAAACACAAGTGCGCAATATGTTTTGCAACGTATAGATTTTATAATTACTGCACTTTTTACTAAGCAATACACTGTCTTCAAGGAAGTCAGCGGTAAAACCTCAAACAAAAACTCCAATCAATAACACTGACCTCTAAACTGCTGATATTGTCCTCACACTGAAGTGGAGAATTTCTACAACTCAAAGGAATTGGTCTTGCACAAACAGATGGAAAACACAGGTTTACCCCACGGATTTAACCCACATTTCAGTTCTGCGGTCTCCTCTCACTCACCCACCCTGAAAAGCTCCTATGTTAGTCTGCAGGCCAATGTTGCTTCCTGAGTAAATCAGAGCTTCTGCCCTTAACAGTTTTACTCTCGTGGGCTGTTTTGAAGTGCAGGGATGTCGGGGAGCTTCCACCGTGCTTCAGGGCACCCTGGCGAGCCTCAGCCCCTTCACTCTCCCCCCACCCCGGGGAGCTAAGCGACCAGGGCCAACCGCGCGCCCCCTCTTCCTCCTCACAGCGCCATTTTCCGCACGGAAGCCGGGCGGCTGGCGCAGCCCCGGGGCAGGCCGGCTCCGGGGGCTCTCACCTGCGGGCCGCGGGGAAGCCCATGCCGTAGAGCGTCACGACGACGGCGCCGCCGAGGGCCAGGTTGTGCTGCAGCGCCACCTTCGCCCCCGCCACCTGCCGCCGCCCGGCCAGGCCGCGCAGCTGCCAGCAGAGCTCCGCGCACTGCGCCAGGCCTGCGAATCGAGCGCCGAGAGGGAGAGCCGTGAGGGAGGGAGCCGCGAACGCCGCTCGAAGGCGCGAAAAGATCCGGAGGGTTTTAAAGAACCCGCGTGCGCGGCCGCGTCTCTGCCGGGTGGAGCTGTCCAAGCTCGGAGCCCCCGAGCAGCCCAACGTGTTCCAAGTCCCTTAAATCTCGCCTAAGTACTAACGCGGCCATGAGCGCTCCTGAAAAACTTGGAGATGAAACGAAATTAAAAGCAAGAAAACAAAAAAAGAGCAGCCTCTGTTTCTGGGAAACAGGGACTAACAGCGAATTTGTGATGTAAACGCCAGATATGTATTTAGAAATCTGAGGCTCAACAAAAGTAGCTTTTATTGTAATTAAAGAAGCTACAGGCTATTCAGATCCAGTAAACATCTAATATATAAATATGCATATATATATTTAGAACATTAGCATATGAAAATAGTGCAAATAAATTAATCAGGAGTTGCACTGCTTGAATAGTAACTAAAAAAGGTTACAATGTTTTGCCAATCTTTAAAAAACAATAAAAAAGCAGGATCTTGAGCTAATGCTGAGAATCAAAATTCAAGCTCCAAATATTTTGGTTTGACCAACCCTACCAGCCTGCCTTAACTCTTGTATTATCCTGAAAGGACAATCAATTCTAGAGCTTCCTTCTCAGGGCTTCCGTCTATTTTACAAATTCTATAATCCAAACCTTCATTTGTTTCATAAAGACAGTCCCGTTAGCATAAATGCAGAAAAAGAAGAAAGCACCTGCTCAAGGATTGTATTTCATATCCATTTGGCATTACTAAATTAAATACATTTGATAAAAATGTATAAAAGTATAAAATACTCTTGCATTACCTGTAGCACCAAGCGGATGCCCCTTTGAGATCAAGCCACCACTGGGATTAATAACCCATTTTCCTCCATAAGTATTGTCTCCTCTGTCAATCAGGTCACATGCTCTTCCTATAAAACAGCATTTACCCAAAAAAAAAAATATATATATATATATACATTATTAAAAAAAATCATTTTCAGTTTGGTCACTAACCAACGATACTGCATATATTTCAGATCAGTCAAAACACAAAAAATGCCAGAACACAGATTTTAGAAAGAGCAAATTGAAATTGGCCAAACTACATAAACAAGACTTGCTTAAACTTCTTGAGAAAGTGTAATATGGAGAAAAGAAGCAAAACGACTAGTGTTTTTTATATATTTTTTAATTAACTGGTTTACTGATCTATAGTATTATGATGCAATCAATTTTGCTGTTCATTATTTCATTAATTATCAATCAATGAAAATTATAGTTTTAACAGAGGTTAGTCATAACTATGACTACTCTTAATATATTTTTGCTTTGAAATCTCCAATAAATGCTACTTGCCAGAAAAGTATCAACCTACTGCAGAGTTAATACTTGAAGAGATTCTTCTCGACATCATCAGGATTCATAGAACACATTAAGTAAATATTAATTTGCAAAGGTGAACAAAATCCCTTGGTGTTTGGATTAAATCACTTCCTACCAAAAATCTTTCTAATTTTCAAAGAAATGCAATATAATTGTTCCTTTTACACAGTAATTAATTAGGCTATAGCATAGGTCTGGCAGGACTTTCTTGGGCTATGTCCCACAATACTAAAGATAACTACCTCATATAAAAATTTGAGGCAAATTTAAAGGGGGCAATGATCCTACTGCAATGCTGTCTTGGAAGTTCTCCTGTAGGTACTTTGATTTCACAGGTTTTTGTGGGGAAAAAAATAACTGATACTATTACCTTCAGGGCAGAGTCCCAGGGCTTCATAGGTAAGTAACTCATTAACTGAGAAACAATCGTGGAGTTCAATCACATCAACATCTTCAGGCTTCATGCCTGCTTTTTCAAAGCATTTTTTAGCAGCTCCTTTAGTCATATCATAGCCAACCTATAGCAAGACAAAATCCTAAATTAAAATATCATGAAGGAAAAACAAAACAAATAATAAGAAAGACATCACAACTCTCCAAAACCCCACACCTGAAGAATCACCAACTGTAAACTTACCACCTTAATACAGCTGTTCTCTTCGAATGTGCTTGGATAATCAGTAGTCATCGCCTGGGCTAGAATTTCCACAGCTTTTGATTGCAATTTATGCTTTTTCACAAACTCTTCACTAGCCAAAATTGCAGCTGCAGCACCATTTGATGTAGGACTGATTGAAAGAAAAAAAATTGTTTCCTCATCCTGTATTATTAATGCTGATCTGCCACAGAATTACCACACCAAAAAAGGAAAACTAACAAAAGCAAACAGAAACCAAAATCCTCACAAATTTCTGTTTAGCCAATGACTCTGAAACCAAATTCCCCCAGTGTTCACTAGACTATTTTAGCTTTTAAAATTGCTCATTTCAGTAATATTTATAGTAGAGTTTTGAACAATATGACATTTCAATAGAAATGCTTCATTAAGGTTTTTCTATTAAAAAAAATCAAAGCTGCTGCTTGGCTAAAAACATTGTAACAGTAAGTCTCACCAGAGTACATGGAAAAGACTGAAGAGGAGAAATAAATAACGCTTAACAGCAACAGATGTGCTTTGAAAGAGGACACAGAAAGATAATAAGAGCCCCAAATTAGGAGAAGCATTTCAGTTTACTGTAATACATTGTTAACAACTATATGGATAGTGTTTGGTCAAGACATGATGCATATATTTTTTTTATTTATGAAAAGCTGTAATTTAACAATCAGTAACTTATTTTAGAAGCAAACAGACTTATTTATTTAAATAGATGTATGGTCACATTTGTTTTAATTTTATCTTTCACAAGGCCAAGTTGTTTTTCTTACCAACACTGTAAGACAGTTAAGAAATCAAGAATTTGGCGAGAATGCAGAATTTCATCTAATGTATACTCCTTTTGGAACTGGGAATACCTAAGAGAAACAGACGCATCTCAGTTTTAGTACTGTCCTCAGTGGTATCATAGAAGGATCACACTCCAAGACAATGATATAGCTTCTCTCACTCAGTACAGAGTCACTGGATCAGAATTTACCCCGGATTTTTATCTATACACACACAAACACACACATATATTTTATGTTTTTTCATCACACACAAAATACATTCTGAAAAGTTTTTCTTTCTTTAAATAAATAACTTTTACTTTTATGGAAACTTAGTAACAGCTGTTTATGTTCAATATGGAGGTACAATACTGTACTCACGGATTGTTAGTTGAATGGCTATGATTCTTCCATGCAATTTTTGCAAAGTATTCTGGGTTTGTCCCTAGATCGAAAAAGAAAACTAGTTATCCAAAACAGCATTAATATAGCAATTTAAAGACTGTGCCTTCACAAAGCACCTCTAGAAGAGATTAACTTTATCAAACCTTTGTTCAGAACTCAACCAAGGTCTGCAAATTGGACAGAGATACAATTTAGACAGTGACCCCTACAATTGATTGATCTCTAGCTAACAGAACTACTTGAGTGTTTAACTCTTACTAGCATAAACTTGGAGAAAGTAAAAACATTCTGCAGTCTTACTTACTCCTGCAATTTGAACACTCATTTTCATATCTACTACAAAGCAACTGCACTTAAATATTGCCTTCGATTTTCTTCCATATACTCATCTAAAACTAGGTCAGAAAGTGCAGTAACATTAGCCTAGTTGCATACATTAAATCAACTAAACACAAAAGCTGTTGTCACACAACTCAGTCACAAGCCTACCTACCCACCCTAAGGCAAAAGGAAAACAAAAGGGTTAAGCCATCTTGTAACACAAACTCTTCAGGAGCACACACACACACACACACACACACACACACACACACGATACCATTAGACACATTAGCATCACAGCCTTAATTTTTTCTCCCTGTTGGTTTTCTCTGCCTCCACTCCATTAACTATTCTGCAGGTAACTCTTTATCCCAATATAGTTCCTTAAGTGTTAGCTGTGGATGCTGCAGCTGTAGTATGTATGTAGCAAAAAGGAGAGTGAATGCTATTTATTTTTAAAAACAAAATCATAACTTCTCAAAATTTCTTCATTAAAAGAAGATAACGACAAAATATATTTTGACAATACCATACTTCTCCATATGTTCTTTGCCAGCCCTTGCAAACATCTGAGGTGCTACTGGAACATTGACTAAGCCATGTTTATTTATCATTAATTCCACGTGCTTGTCAATTGGATTAGTTCTGTCTGAAAACTAAAAAGAAAAACAGGTTACAAAGCAAATCAATCTCCTTCTCTTTAAAAAAATACCCCTATACAAATGTGATGTATTTAAAGTAAAATAGAAGTTTTCTGATTTTTTTTTTTTAAATAATTCCACTGGACAGTATGTGCACTTCAGTAATGTTTTGAAGCATTTATATCATCCCAAGTAAAAGAAAGAATAAATAAAACATTTAGTATTATCATCACTGCAATGATTTGTGATAAGAACCATCTGTATATGATCTCTATCACAGTCACTATTTTCAGAAGATGACTTCATGATTTTTTTCTACCTTGGCTTAAAATCGTAGAGTTCTATATAATTCCAAGTTAAAAATAATGTTGTGTTAACTTTCTATCTTCTATGCAGATGAAATGAAAGACTGTAAAGCAAGTTAAAGACAACTTTTAGCTATTTTCCTATCAGTTGTTATTTTTATGATTCCTTCCCCAAGCCTATGCATCTATCATTAAATTTGGAATTACACACTGTATATAATATGGATTGCCATAAGGCAAGCAAACAAATATACACCAAAAAATCATGCAGTTCTCTGGTAAAAAAGATGAAGACAAAAAGAAATGCTTATGGAAGCCCTTAAGTTTTCAGGAAAGCGTACTAAATCGCCAATTGGGCAAGGAACAATCCACTAGCCAAAAGACTTTTTTTCCCCCTTTGATTTATTGTGTCTTTTTGAGAAAGAGACTTCAACTACTCAGTGTCTCAGTATTCTATATTGAAGATTTTTTTCATTCTTCCGTATTAACTCTGGCATTAACATGTTCTTGGCAAGTCCTAAAAGGATGACAGACTACTTAAATACAGTTTTAAAATATTCTATACAAAATTTGTAAATCATAGCTGGAATCAGAATGATAAAACACACAAAAAGTTTCCACAAATCAAAACACAGCAAAATCCTACAAAAACGAAAATCAATACTTAGGAAAAGATGTTTCAGAGAAAGAAGTAGATTCCATCTATGGATACAATGAAATGTACATATTTTAGACACTTACTTTTGAACCAATGGAGCCCGTTTCCATCTTCTCAAAGCCAAGTGCAAGAACACAATCTGCCAAACCTTGAAATAAAATTTGTGGTTATTTGAACAACAATTTAATAACTGACAGTATGTACCATTAAACATTTTATTACAAGAAATATACACAAACATCTGCCAGCTACTCTTTCACCTTTCTTAATTTTTGAAAGCAAGTCAAATTGGGAAGGGAATGGTATTAAAAGAAAAATCTTTATATTAAATATTGAGAGATCACTAGAGAGTTTGATTTTTTTATAATTCTCTATAGTTTAACTTCACATATTTTCTATAACAAAGCACTCATGTCTCATCTGCAAATACTAGATTAAGCATACCGAAGCATATAGAATTTACTGTAAATAGTTTTCATTACAGAAACATTAGCAGTTGATTGTAAGAAAGTGTCAAAATCTACCAAGGAACTACAGAAACAGAAGGAAACTCTCAGCTATCCAACCAAAGCAGTGCCCATCACAAAATGTTCTTCTACCCACAAAAAATCAATTAGGTAAAACCTCAGTCCATACAGCACTGAACAACCTCTTAAGTAGAATGAGGCAGAAAACACAGGTCTACCTTTTGAAGATAGTATTTTTAAAAATCAGGGTATCCTTTCACACAGACACTTGCTAGTCCCATTCCTCGGCAAGTTACAGTTATAGAAATAAAGAATATTTATTGATCAGTTCCAGAGCAAAATAACTCACCTCCTTCTATCAGCTGCCTAGCCATGAATAAAGCAGTAGATCCAGTAGCACAGTTGTTGTTAACATTAATGATAGGAATGCCAGTTAACCCCAAACTGTGGTAGATGGCCCTTTGTCCGCAGGTTGAGTCACCTTCACAGAGATATGACATTAAAATAAGGAACATATCAAGCTTCACTAGCAAAAAGATTACACTATGTGTATGCTATACTACATGTTAAATTGTAAACTTGAAGTTTTGAACTGTGAACTTGAGTACCCAACTCAAAGTATCTCTAGCATAAGAACATTAGGAGATTAAAATCTTATTAAATCAAGATTAAAATCTTATTTAAAAAAACAAAAACAAACGAACAAACAGAAAAAAAACAGTTTGTCCTGCTTCTGTGACAAGAGTGAAGATGTAAGGTAACTGAGCTGGACACCAAGGTATTAGTGCAGTTTAGAGGTTGCTAGAAATAACACAACAGATTGATCCTAATACTGTTGCCATAATAGAGTGAGTAAAATAGAGAAACGAAGTAAATAAACGGACAACTCTCCTTGAAATGGAATGAAATCTGTCATTTGGACTGGTAGGAAAGGGTTCAAACCACTCGTTTAGTACCATCCACTCTCTGTACACTAATCAGTGACTGCAAGATAAAAGTTCTGGGAGTGACTCCAAGAAATCCATTTTGAGAGTCCAGTTGATAAAGAAGGCAGGGCAGCATTGCACAGATACCTGAACCACTCAGTTTTCTTCATACAAGCTGCAAAGCATTACCCTGGAACCACAGTAATGCATATACCCTCAACAGTCTTAGACTACACATTAAATCATGGTTATGTTTTCAAGTATGTGCAAAGGATTAAAAAAAGTTCTGAAACTCTCACAGAGTAGATCTTAACCAACACCTAGACTTGAGCCCAAGCATATACACATTCTGTACTGTTGGGCTGATATGGCAAATGCATAGAACACATCTGATCCCAGAAACACCTCTAGCAAGTGTCTCCAACTCAGGATCCCTAGGTCAACAATCTTACCCTTTCTAGTGAACATATACCACCACCACAGACAAATAAAACTCTGCTGTAATTTTAATTCCAAATATATTGCCATAAACATTGCAATATGTAAGCTTATATCACTTTATAAAAGTGCTGTTTGGTCTTGCTGAAAGAGC